GAATTTCTCTCTCTCTCTCTCTGAGTTTTTGTTTGGTGTTTTCGGTTAGTGAGGCTAAACGCCCTGATCTTGGTGAGAGAATTGTACACAACGCTCTTCTGCATACCTTTTCCGTCTCTGATGGTTTGGTGACCGGTGAACATCAGTTGTGTACCCCTTGAGACTGGCGTTTGTCCGGTTTTTCTCAAAACGATGCGGAAAATATAACGACTCAGCGCTGAGTAGACTTAAGTGCGCAAGTAACCTTACCGCGCGACGGGCTAGGTGGGACTTGAAGTTTCACCGAAAGAACCACAACTCCTGCGAGAGCGTCTGTTAGCAGTGAGGTTATACGGAGATTCGCGGGGTGTCATATGTGGCAACTAAAGTTGGAGCCGTAAAGTCACTCCCGGTTTGTCGGTGCGGATAAATGGACAACACACAGATGATGACAGTTTACTGCGAATAGGTTGGCAGTCATTTTTATGCCCAAAAATGATGTAGAGGAAACAAAACCTGCACGCTTTAACGCAGACTGTAGAATTGGTAAGCTGTTGTGAGTAATTTATTCCCGAACTTTGCCAAATGCACTTGGAAACTTGATGAAAACTTACATATAATCCATTTTCTGTTATCCATTCTTCATAAGGGGCACACAAAAGCCATGCACATAAAAGCCATGCACCGGACGGCCTCCACGCCATCGTGCCCGACTAAAATAGATGAGAGTGTCCAAAGTTTGTATGTGTGTACCTCCTAAACGGGCCACGTGGTTAATGCGCTGGACCAACACGGGGCCATATCGGATTCTGGCAGGCGTAATAGGATTGCACACCAACATTGCGGGGTTTGATGGTGAACTCGGCTGTCCGCAGTCGTCGCGTACACTGTTGCTGTTGGTCAAAAACCTAGTCGTTTGTTGTGTGGACACGGACGAATGTTGAATCGGGCTAAGAGCCTCTACCAGCCGTAACCGTGGATGAGGCCCAGAGTATGACAATTTAACGACTTACGAAGACCTTGGCGAGAATGCCTGCACCAAACGTCGGAAGGTAAATGACTTCAAGGTCAAATGAGATCTGTCATCGAACCAACACGAGGACCAGATCGGGGTATGCTACGCATTAATGGGATGGGCAACCATTAAAAACTCCATACAATGGAGGTGTGATGGCACGCCTGGGCACATTCCCCGCCGCGCCAGTCATCTGTTCTCGATCCTGCCTCCAGTCTTCTTGGCTGAGGGTGGGAGAAGGCGCAGTAGATGCACCGAAAGTCACCAATCACCATAAATTAAATGATTGGCAGTTCAGCGCCTCCGCACCCACCCTGCTGTGAAGCACACCGTGGATCTCGTGGATAACGACGATCGAACTGTGCCAGACAGAGACGGAATATCTCAGCAGACGTTAGGAGTAGTGTTGCTGTAGGCTGAGTGATCGCTGCCTCGCGGTTTTCTTTCCGGTCATATTAGATTATTTGATCTTTTGTCTCATCAAACACGAGCGCTGCAGTAAGGGATGAGTACCCTGTTGGTATTTGAGTAAAGGCGGCTGAGTCCCCAACTATGCTCGCAACTTGCCTTTAATGAGTCGTCAAATGGCAGAAATTTTCACTTATTAAGAAAGCTTCAACACGGGTTCATCGCAACCCATCGCTTCATGATGATAACACTATTTCCATCTTTATCCCGGTTATTGTTAACGTTCTGGTGATGGTATGCTATTACAGACAAAGACAACAGAGACTGGAATGACCATTTCTGGTTTATTAGCCGTCGTCAGCCAGTCATACCCAACCTGGAAGTGTGGAACACCCGAGGCTCGTACTCGCGATCTGTTTGCTTGAAGGCCACGCCTCTAAGCACTGGAGGCCATTGTTTTGGTGATGCTCGACAAGTCACATCTGTCAGATTCCCACGTCGTCTTTCATACCCGGACTTATCTTCCTCCGCAATGACTGATTTCTGCTACACATACTTTACCAAGCATCTCTTGCACATGAAGCCTGTCGTTTGACTGCCGTAATTTGGATGTTCACAGGCTACCTTTCTCCATTGCGTACTTCATTGAGAGTGCCTCAGCAATTAGGAGGCAGCGCATCGTGTCTTTCGGCTTAAAAAGTATGTTGTTTATTTTGTCTTTAGAACAAATTCCTCACTTTTCGATGTTGAAGATGCTGATACATTTACTCTGGTCAGGCACAGTTGTTACCGAGGATGACGGACTGAGGCTGCTAAAGAAAACTGTCCTGACAGTGTTTATGGCCTCGATAGATCAGTCCATGGCGGGCAGCTGGGCTTTAGAAGTCAGTACCGAACCCTCAGAGCATCCGCAGCCCTAACCGACAGCGGACGGCAGAGCGGACGATCAACTACGGTGACAGTCTGTGCGCGTTTCTGGTGTCAGTGAGGTGGACTTCGTGCCCGGGTTCGCAATCACCAGACTGCCCTACGGTATCGGTTCTTCTTTTCGTCAACCAATTGAAGGTGAGTGCGGACGAACGGGGCCACATGGGATTTTGGCAGGCGTTATCGGATTGCACACCATGACAAATACCAAAATTTCGGGACTCGGTGGCGGACCCGGTTGTCGGCAGTCGTCGCGCACACTTGAACAATTACAACCCCCATTTGTTGTTGTTGTTGTTGTTGTTGTTGTTGTTGTTGTTGTTGATCAAAATCCTAGTTATTTGCTGTGTGGACCAGGGGGTGTGGAGTGGAACGCCAAGGTGCGGGCTCAGTCGTGCCATCCACATGCTTCCTTCCCCGCCTCCGGTCTTCTTGACTCTGTGTTGACACCTTGTCCGGGTGGGGGAGGAGAGTGTGCGGTAGATGCAGCACAAGTCTATAATCAATATATACTAATTCACGCGCAAGTCACCGTCCCTGCTCTCACCTTGCGGGTAAGCAAACGGCGAAGATAGTCGTGTGTTTGTGTTTGTGTGTGTGTCTGGTTGTAGGGGTGTCCAGCAGTGGATTCACGTGATGGTCGTAGTAGGTGGCTCACTTGCTTGTAGGTGCAGACTACGCCTAGCGACCATTTACTGGCACCCAACTCTTAATGTAGCTCCCCGAAGCTGGGCTCTGCCCAGCGGGCGCACCTCGGTAACCGTCTCTATCGGTCGGCTAAACCAGGTGAGGGTGTCCGTGTGTGCATCTGCACGCACGGTACTGTGGTTTCCGCTGACTATATGGATCTTCGCGTCGGCATCCTTGAGACGAGGCACCGTCTGGACCAACGCAAGTGGCCACCAGGTATGTCAATCCTCAGGTTAGCGATCTCTCCTCAGTTTCCTTACTCGCCTGTTGGTGTTACATGATGTATGCTGCTATTGCTGCCTTTTCTGTGTCTTTTTGCCCGTGCTTCTGGCTGCTAATAGCTATGTGTTACCTTGCTTACTGCTCTCTCTGCCTGATGGCTATGTCTTATAGAGTTCTGTGGAATATATCTCCTCTCCTATTTAATGCTCCCCCCCACGGTCCCTGGCTGCCATCGTCAGCGCATTCCGCGTTCGCGCCACGTGTCCTTGTAAGACGAACACGGCCGCGATCAATGATTGTCACAGTTCGAATCAGTCTGGGGAGACGCATCAGACACAAAATGGAGTTTGCTAACGTCAACGACGTGGTAGCTGGTGTTTGGGTGTAATACTGGAACGTGTAGTTTCCAAGAGTATAAGAGCTAACGGAACCGAGACCCAAAACCACTGCATACGGCAAGTACCTGTGTGATTTGTCAATATTGCTATTATGGTTTTTTATTTCATGCATGTCAATGCAGCATTTAGGATGATGCCCTTCCTCGGTAGGCGCGTTAACGTAGTCAAAGAAAACAATTATTTGTGCCCAGCAAGTCACCTTGCATGACTAATGTTTGCGACGTGAATGGCGACTTTATTGCCAATACCTCGACCAAAATCGCTTGCTGGAGTGGACACTTCGAACACCATCTCAAATTCGATACCCAAAACATCACGGCCTTGCTCTGCTCTCCAGCGCAGTATCTTCTTCCTCCAACCTGTGCAGTGTCAAGCGACGTCCCAACTGAAAGACAAATCACCGATGCTATACGAAAGCTACGCAACAACAAGGCACCCGGAGAGAACGGCGTACGCGATAAAATTTACAGGTTTTGTGTCGACACTCTGCGCCCTGGCTCCGTGAGGTGATTGAACAATCGTGGTGAAACGAGGCAGCCCCCGATAACTTTGGCTGGGCATCCTTGTACCTATCCTCAAGAAGGGGAATAATAGAAGATCCAAAAATTACCGCGGCATGAGGGTCATCGGCTTTGCGGCAAAAATCTTCTGTATTTTCCTACTCAGACCATTCCTGGCTGTGCGTGACTCTAGGACGGGGCCCAACCAAGCCGGATTCCGTGCTGGACGTGGATGCGCAGACCAGAAACACACACTGAGGCGCATTCTCTAATTTTGCCATGGCTACCAACAACCGACGGCCGTCTGCTTCATTAACTTTGCCGCCGCGTTCGATTCTGTCCTTCATGAGTCCTTATGGCGAATAATATCATTAGATGGTGTACCGCCACAACTCATTGCCATGATCAAAGCCTACTATCGCCCGCCTACTGCACGATTCCTCATCCGCAACAGTAGGCCAATCCTCAGGTTAGCGATCTCTCCTCAGTTTCCTTACTTGCCTGTTGGTGTTTCATGCTGTATGCTGCTATTGTTGCCTTTTCTGTGTCTTTTTGCCCGTGCTTTTCACTGCTAAGAGCTAAGTGTTACCTTGCTTACTGCTCTCTCTGCCTGATGGCTATGTCTTATAGAGTTCTGTGGAATATATCTCCTCTCCTATTTAATGCTCCCCCCCACGGTCCCTGGCTGATTCGGGTGGTTCTCTCACTAGGACAAAGCCGTGCCCCATAGTGGAGTTCGGCAGCCGTCCTCGATAACCGGACAGCCCTATTTAGGGGGTGCGCTGCCTGTCCCCGTTGGGGAAAACAGCTTGGAAAGGTGCCCTAAAAATTTCTGGGAGCCATGCTCTCTTTAGACTGACCATGGCCACAGACAAAAACACCGTCGAAACAGTCACCGAAGCAATACCCATCTATCTTCCTCCTACTGCCTACTCTTCTTCTTCCTCCTCCTCTGCCATTCAGGGTGACTCCGCTCACTCTGGCAGCCTGGAATGTTCGTTCCCTTTTAGACAATCGGAGGAGCAATCGACCGGACCGGAGGACTGCACTATGGTTCGAGAACTGGTGCGCTATAAGGTGAACATCGCGCTTTCCGAGAGACCCGATTCTCCGAACAAGGCCAGCTGGAGGAAATGGGTGCCGGTTACACCTTCTTCTGGAGCGGTCGCACAAGGGCAGAGCGAAGAGGCAAGGGTGTCGCATTTGCAATCCGGAACGACATCGTGAGACGACTGTCCCGTCTGCCGCAGGGCATCAACGATCGCCTGATGAGCCTCCGCCTGCCTCTTTGGGGAGGCAAATTCGCCACCATTATCAGCGCCTACGCTCCGACGATGACCAACCCGGACGCCGTCAGAGACAAATTCTACGCGGACCTGCACGCCCTTTTGGCGACTGTGTCGAAGGCGGACAAGTTGATTGTCCTTGGTGACTTCAATGCCCGCGTCGGCACAGACCATACTGCCTGGAGAGGAGTACCAGGTCCCCCTAGTCTCCGCGAATCCAACGACAATGGCCTGTTCCTTCGTCGCACCTGCGCAGAACACCGCCTCATCCTGACGAACACATTCTTCCCACCTTTCAGAGCAAGAGAAGGCCACCTGGATGAATCCTCGATCGCGTCAATGGCATCTGCTGGACCATGTTTTCGTCTGGAGGCGAGACCAGCGGGACACGCCAATGACAAAGGCGATTCCGGGTGCCGACGGGTCTACCAACCATCGCCTCGTCATCTCGAAGATCCGCATTCGCCTACGGCCTTCCAGGAGACCACAAGGTAAGCGACCCCCAGCTAAGGTGAATATTGTCTTGTTGTCGTTGCTTGCTCACCTTCCCCGTTTCACCAACGGCCTAGCTCAACTGATAGGCAACCCTCCAGTCGCTTTCGCCGCCGCTGACGGGAACGCCTCCGTTGAGAACCGATGGTGCTAACTGCTGGGCACATTTCAGTCGACGATGCTGGCCGTCTTCTGTCGAGCACGCCGCCAACAGCCGGACTGGTTCGAAGACAATGACACCGCCGTCAGCAACCTGCTCGCCAAAAGGAACCGCCTGTACAAAGCCTACGTGGACCACCCTACCGATAGCAACGGCGCTGCCTCGTACAACAACGACTGCGCGAGAGGCAGGACGCCTGGACGGCTTGAAGGGCTGAGGAGATCCAAGGGTACGCGGACCGCAACGAATGGAAGAACTTCTTCTCCACGATCAAAGCTGCCTACGGTCCTCCGACCAAAGGAACTTCTCCTCTCCTCAGCGACGACGGCAGTAACCTCCTGACTGAGAATACACAAACTTTTCAGCGATAGGCCAAGCACTTCTGGGGCGTCCTCAACATTCCCTCCACCATCTTCGACGCCGCCATCGTCTGTTTGCCGCGAGTGGAGACTAACCTTGACCTCGACGCCCTCCTCTATCCACGAAAACATCAATGTCGTGCAACAGCTCTCTGGCTGGAAAGCACCCGGATCGGACGCGATCTCTGCTGAAGTCTACAAACACGGTGGCCCCCAACTAATGGATCACCTGACTGCGCACTTCCAGGAGATGCAGCGCCAAGGAAAAGTCCCGCAGGACTCCACAGACGCGAAAATCGTGCATCTATACAAGCGGAAAGGTAACCGCCAGCTCTGCGTCTATCACCGAGGCATCTATTCGCTGAATATCGTCGGGAAAATCTTTTGTGGTATCCTCCTCAACCTCCTGAATAATCAGCTAGAACAGCGTCTTCTGCCGGAAAACCAGTGCGGCTTCCGCCTTCATCGCGAGACCACGGATATGATCTTCACCGTTGGCAATATCACGATAGGAAGTTGTGAGCTTAAGTTGAAAAACGACAACAAATAACAAACACTGTTTGCATTCCATATATCCTCACAGGCAACCAGATTGGCAAGTTTCAGTGTCGATATCAGGAGGGCTTGTTTATTTCTATATAACATAATGATAACTGAGTCGCTAAATGAAGTCCCACGCCCACCCGTAATGCGAGTCGACAACTCTTTTTTTACAATGACATCATGTTTAATGGGAACAGTCTGCGTTGCTTGAGGTTTCAGACTCTGAACATGCTTCTGTCATGGAACAGCCGGCTTAGTATTCTCATAACTGTTGTGCCCAACCTCTTTCATATCGACTGCAAGTTTGTGCACTCTGCTAATGGCTGTTTGATTGTGGTTGCGGACGATGTCCACCGTGTGCTCTAAAAGAAGGTGAAAGCATGCATGACGACTTGCTTGTGAACTACTTTGTAGCGAAAGTGGACTTTCACAACATCTAATGCACTATCTCCTCCCCAGCCGACCCTGGTGTCAAGACACAGTCAAGACCGGAGGTAGAGGAAAACGCAAGTGGCTGGCACGGCCGGGCCCTCACCTTGACGTACTACCACACTCCTTGATCCGCAACAAACACTAAAGCAGTAGTTAAACCAACAAAAAACGGATAGCACAAGTTGCTGGACAATCATGCACAAGGCGTGTATACTCAACGGAAACGCATCTACGACAGGAAGTCAGATGTCAGGGAACTGCCAATGTACACCAGGCTACGAAGGCCATGTTTTCCTGAATCATGATATGGCAGATACGCACAATCCTTGAAATCCAGGAGGGTACGATGCACACGTTCTCACACTTGTCATTTTCTGTCCCGTCTTCTAAAGGCCGTTCGGTGAGTTTGCTCATAAATATTTCACTTAGCACTCAGCTAACATATACCTACCTGGAAAAAGATGATGGGACAAACTGCATTGAAAAAAGCATGTTTAATCAGCCACAAGATTGACTGTGACATATGGTCGCTGAGACCCTCTTTTCAACTGGGGACATTAACATCTGATGGGTGATTTAATTAGAGTGTTCAGCAATCTTGTGCAGTGTCATTACTCGATGTTGTTGTTGTTGTTGTTGTTGTTGTTGTTGATGATGATGATGATGATGATGATGATGATGACGACGATGATGATGATGATGACAATGTTCGTCGTAGTCGTGGTCGTGGCCAAGCAGGGAGAAACAGTCATGTTCTCAGTCTGCTGGCTAGTAAGTTTAAGGTTTCACTGTAACTCTTAGATGTCAATTGGTTTCACATTAGAAATTCTTTATTTTTAGAGAGTTTTGGCACCTAATCTGCTGATCTCACCACTAAATCTCCTCGATAACAACTAAAAAAGGAAAAGCAAATTCGAGATATGCGCCCTTTATAGTCCTTAAGCAGAAGAAAGTTCATGTAAAATTTGCGTCTATTGGAAAGTAGGTTTGACCCAAATGTGATTAAACTCACGGCTCCCGGTAGGGCCTCGTAACGCAGATGGCTGTACTGAGACCTCCCATTCCTGTCTTGTGCTCGAATGCCACTGCGACGCCGAGTTTTTTTATCACAGCGTTATAATGCTTTATTCAAAATCAGCCAAAACACCTATTTAAAAATGACTTGGTTCAGATCGAGTGCAGTTATTTAAATTGGGTAAACCCGAGTATTTTCTTCGTAATCTACCGACACGGATGTTCACTAGCTACCCTCTACCTTAATGATATTTCCATTATGCTGAATCCGAAATTCAAAATACCAAACAGAGACTGGTATAGTACGGGGGGTAGGAGATGTCGAAGTCGTAAAATGTCGTTTGCATTAGAACGGAGGGCCGGAGAATTTCTGCGTACTGAATAACCCCCCCCCCTTACCAGGGAGGAAAAGGACGCCGTTCATCAAAAGGTCTGCAGCATTCTGTGCAATCTGGCGTCCAGATGTCGGTTCAAATGTGAGCGCAAATGTCTTCACTTTCAGGCTGGCTATTTTCCATCTTCTTACATGTTCTTTATTTGCGTACCTTTTTTCTCGACTCTCTCCCCCCCCCCCTACGGCTTTAGAAAATCCAAGTATTTTGGAGGTTTCATATAGAGTGTCCATTTTCGAATTCCCGTGTACGGTTTTTTGGTTTTTTTCGGGTTGACATTTGCATTATTCGACGGGCAAAAACTCACTTAAATTGCAAATATACTTGGTTACTTGTCTGTCCTGTGCAGTTTTGTCCTGCGATAAAGTGAAAATCTGCAATCCTCGTGCCAGAAGATGCTTCAGAAACAACCACGTACTTCAATTTAAGAGCGATGCTGGCAAAAATGAAAACCAGCCCTCTGCTAATCGCCATTTGGAGCAGCAAATATCGTTCTGGCGGGCGGTTTGCCGTCTGTCTTCATTGCACGTCTAAAATCAGCCTAAAAATAGATCACGAGTCTACGGAGCTGTGAGCACGGTAATCACGCACGAGGGACTTTCCGTCAGTTTATAACTTACCGACTGGAGGGGGAGACAAGACTCTGAATTTGTTTGGTCGAATTCCTTGCAACCCGGTTAGTGCCTACTTAAGTTAAGTCAGTAGCAGAATGGCGATTACTAATCGAAAATTTGGAAGTATTCAGCTGTTCCAACCTTGCCGCTTCTTGGCTTAGAGTGCCCGACAAACGTAGAAGTCTTGCTTTCACGGACAGGAATTTAATTTGGTTTACTCTTTAGCCCACGTCCAACAATCATAATGCATTGCTTTTTCCGTTTTCTTTTCGCATGTACAGTGCTCCTGGCTTATACGTGGGTTATTTATTCAGAAGTCAGTATGAATTGTTTCGTCTCCCCTCCTCAACACGGAATTAACATTTGAGTTCGCAGTATAAATCCTACATTTCAAAATAATAATTGCGAAGAGCGATCGCTCCTCCGTCAGCCACCTGCTAAATCCTTTAATTAGAAGTCTGGCATCAAGTCATTTTCTGCTTCGTAGTGTGAAAATGCATACGTAGACAAAAGCTCCTTGGGTGTGCAATACTAATTATTCAAGCCACCTTTCGAAACCCGTGAGAAGGAAACCGACTGGATGTTGAAATCTTTTGTTTATTTTCTTGGTTTTTGAACTCGTACAGCATACCATTGGCAGATATGACAGCAGCTAAGAAGTAAACAACAATTACATGGCTCACTAGCTAATTAACGACAGGTGTTGCTGGTCCGGGGGTGGCTGCGCAGGGCTGCATCTGCGGATGTCCGTCCACAACGTCGACTGAGTGAACTCTTATCAGATAACGAGACTCCAATGAACCCTCCGCTTGCCTTACTTGCGAAATGGGCAATCATGTTGGCGGCTGTAAAAATGATCTAATGGTCCGCATCTTGCACCGCATCTGCTGTTGCCGCTAAACATGGGTGACTTCCAAAGCCTAGATTGATAAACAAATGATTTAGGTTCTCGGTCAGTCTTCATCTTCCTCATTCATCTTAACCGCTGACAAATGCGAGATAGACCAGGATTACAACTGGTTGCGCGAATTCGGCGGACGAGAGGTCCAAAGGGTCAGCCGGTTGCCTTTCGGCCCAAAGGCCAGTAGAGGCCCCTTGAAATTTAGCAAGACCAGAAGGCTGACATTGCCATCAATGAACCGGATCAATCGGATGAAAATGTTGTTTACCTAGCATTTTGCATCGCGTTGGAAGTCACCATCATAGTCAGTAAGCGCACGGGTCGTCGTATTTGTAAAGTATATTTGTTATGCAGCAATTCGCCCATCAGAATTACCATCCCAAGCATTCATCGCGGCTGGTTGTGTTTGGTGAGGTGCATGCACTTGCTCGACCGTGCCTGATGGGAAGTCGACGCGTCGGAGAATATAACTATAATTCCAACAATTAAGTCACCTTCAGGTCAACTGCTTTCGCAAACTCGCGTATTCGCCTCTACTGATGAGATTAAAGTCCACATCCGGACAGAAGGAGATTCTCCAAAAAGGGCCGTTTTTACTGAAGATACTGCTGTTCGCCGTGGACGGGAGATAACTAAAGCAACTTCAGGAGCTCCTGCTTGTCAGATTCCGTGAGAATATTGGCCTCCTGGAATTTGGGGGTGCATTCAAGAACAGACCTGAGATCCGGGGTTATTAGATGTTACTACTGTTACATGTTTTCCTCTCTCAAAATGGGTTCAAGTTAGAATCCGAAAGGTTAGTTGGATGAAACATTTTTGAACCATCCATTGCACTTGCCCCTTTTCAACAGCAATAACACTGATAGTAGTAGCCATCAAATTGGCAAATGTCAGCAGTGCGACGGGGGCAAGTGAAACCTAGTGCAGGTTGGAAATGCGCAGTTTGGTTTGCTTGGATCTCCACATCTGGTGCATCTGCAAGCAGCCAGTCGTAACAAGCACTTAGTGATATATATTAAAATAAGTATATGAACGCGCAATGAGTGGGGCAGTACATGCATTAGGCTTAGCTTTCCGTATCCTATATGAGGCCGTCATCAGGGACAAGGAGAGTGCGGCGTCAAATGAGCTGATTTGTAGTCAAACGAAGAAGACAGGACAGGAGCGGAGAGGGGGTGTTTGCGGTAGGGCTGAGTGCACGCCGTCTCACGAGGGCGTGACTGCAGACATTTTGGCGTCAAGCTGACCTGCTGGTGGCAGCTGCCGAAAACTATCATTTGTTCTACCGAATATGTTTGTCGTTTGCATAATGAGGTAGAAATACTTCGCAGCTGTTAGCAAAACTACTAAGTACGATGACTCCTTATGGTATTTTGCGCCTTGTGTTTTGCGTTGTGTATATATTTCAGTCACTGTAATAGGAATTAATTCCTCTGTAATTGAAAAGTCGATTTGGCAAACACATGTTTTCGGTAAATCTTCATCAGGCCAAAACTGTTACATAGAAGTTTAGATTATGCGAAGTTACAGGGCTTATAGGTGATTCAGGGGCTATTAACACCCACTGTTACCACGCCAATCACCGTTCTCACGCCATTCGCATGACGAGGCGTGTTATGGCGTGGTCGGCGTGTCGTGGTCATTGGGTCAAGGGGGCGAGGGAGAGGGGGGAATAGGCTGTGAGTAATGTTTGTACGTCGGGTACATTGTGCACACTACCATCAGGATGTTGGGGCGACGTGCGACCATCATCTGGGGTCGGCGTTGACCACGGAAGACAGAGCGCCTGTGTCAGAGTCTTCTGACATCATAGCACTGGATTGGCTAGCCGTATAGCCACTGCCTCGGCTGTAGCTAGCAGCCGTTGGCTTAGGCCTCTGGAGAAGCTTGCTGATGTCCGGTAGACAACCTGAAAGTTTTCCTTAGCATCGACTCGGTAATTCTTATCGACAGGATAAGCGAGAATAGAACTCGAACTCGATTTCTTTTCACCTCTGCCTAGCTCGGCCGGTATGTGTTCACCTACTCTCTTTTCCAGGCGCCTCTTTGTACGGCCAATGTATCTGGCTCCACAGGAGCAAGTGAGTGAATAAATACACATCGATGTGGCCTGCAACGGGAGTCAGTCTTTACCTCCCAAGCGTAGGAGGGGAGAGTTCGTGAAACATACACGTAAGTTCGCCGCGGGGAAAGCGCTAGTGATCGCTGTCTTCAGACGTCTTCTTAATAGGTCACTTGCTGCGTCCCCTTGAAAAGGCAGTCTTATAAATAAGTCTTTCTTTTCTGCAGGGGCCATGGTGAGCTTTGTAGTGCGTCCCCTATATTTCGGAGGATAACGCTTTCTGGGTATTCGTTTTCGTGGAGTATATCCCGCAGCTGCTGGAGTTCTGCCTCCACAGTCTCAGGACATCTCAACTGAAAACACTCTCTAGCAGATTCTGTTGCGATTTCATGTCGGTCACTGTAATAGGAATTAAGTCCTCTGTTACTGCCAGCGATCTGCAAGTTAAACCCCACCGGTAATACTGGCTAAACGACCCTCATTGTTATACGATCACCACCACTACGTGTGTACTGGATGCCAAAAATTAGATTCTGCCGATAAGCTTTGGCATAGACGGCGGTTCGCCTGAGAATATCGGGTCTCTTTGTGCTTTAAAGGCGCTCATGGTTGCCTTATCGCCAGCGTGGCCGAGAGAGAAGCCTTGCTATGCAAATGCCTGCAACTTTTAAAGTTAGCGGCTGTCACGGTTGACAAGCAACCTAAATTACAATCCAAAGTTTATTCCTGCCCTTCTTGTTAGTTCGGCAGTTAGAAATAATGCGCCAAATATTCATGTTTATAAAGAAAAATTGAGAACGCCAAAACATGT